ACAGCCGCAGCCAACACACACACCTACATATATATTTGCCAACAAGGATATATATGCATGTACATAAAATCGCACACGCATCCGGACAGTTAAGTATCCGCATCCACCCTGGGTTATATCCGCACCGCAACGTTAAGCCAGAGTAGTTGACACTGGCCAACAGATATTTGGCAACAACAACACCGCCGTCGCCAACAGCTGTTCCAGCTAGTCCAGCTAAAACAGGTCAACGGCCATATTACAGACCTGTGGACTCTGCACAGGCCCATACAGAAGAGCATAGTCGTCAACGAAAGGGTAACAGCGAGGGAGAGAACAGCATCCACTTCAGCGCGGTCAACGGGAGCAGCATCAGTGAGAGCAGGGGAGACTAGCGCTCCACCTACGCCGCCAATCAGAACCAGCGAGAGCCGTGGAGACTTGTGCTCCAACCACACCGCGGATCAACAGTAGTGGCATCAGAGGGGCATTCCTTAAATCTTGTTACGCCGATACATACATATTTAGTTGTTATTATGACCTAGACATTACTTATATACTTACATACATATATAGGCTTTAGAGTGGTTGGATTTTTTTTACCTCGCTCGGCTATTCCGCGTTAAGTTTTTTTGTTGTATACCGTTTAGTTGTTTTGCTTATTTTACTATTAATTTTGCTAATTTTGCTAGTAATTGCTTTTCTCGCGAACAATGGATTTTTTTTATCGCTGTAATTATTAGCCTGGGATTTCTCGTTGAAGTTCGGTGGTTTGTTTACATTAAGTAGCTATAGATTTTTTCATTTAAACATCACTAGGCTCCTATATTGAATTCCATAGCCTTTTGATTTCGTGCTCTTTTAATTTTTTTTTTTACTTTTTTTTTGCCTTATTTTCCTCACTTAAGTTTTTATTTAGTCTTATTTGCAATGGGTTCCTTTTACACCCGAATGTTAGATTAAGTTCACAGCTGAGTTCACTTTTATTGCCATTTAGTTTTTCTGTAGGCCTTGTTTTAATAGTAGATCCGCATTTTGTGTT